GCTAGCAGGGGTCAGACTGGCTGTCATCGATAGGGATTTTCACAGAGGCGATGAAACAATCCTAAATTTCGCAACTGTCTGGTAATATGGTTAAAACAGTATTAGCCGGGGTAAATATAGTCGAGCGCTGTCTATTCAACTATTCTCCGGATCGGATCATCCCAATCAAGCCATCATTGTATGGAGTATATGTGAATTCTTTTTTAGGGTATCCCGGTCGAGAATTTCTGTGTTGATTCAAACTCATTTCCCTTAGAAGCTTGTTGGTATTTGAAAGAAAATTTCGAACAGATCGAACAGGTTAGCAGAGTTCAAACTGAGATGGCCAGCCTTCCTTCGTCACATTGGTTCAGAAGCGAGGCCATTTCAGCCTTAAATCAGTAGGTTTACCTTGCGACACATTAATTCTGTTTTTTTTTATGACTTGCTTAATCGTAAGACGCCTTGAAGGTAAGGACAATGTTCGATTTTTTTCCTTTAATTTATTTATTTCTGCCTCGAATATATCCGCGCCAAAACCTCCTAAATGCCCGCCAAATTTAATGTGGCGCGCTCGGGAGTGATCGTACAGTGTTTAGGAAGAAACAGGCCCAGCACAACTTCCACTGGAGGCAATTTTGTGTTACTGCAAGAAGTACCCTTATAAAGAAGTCGAAAAGCTTTTTTATTATTAATTTCGTGCTACATTTTCTGGATAAACAATGGAATGTGTTGAAAATTGTAGACATCCGTGTTTCATAATACACGTACACACTTAGCGGCCAAATTGCTACATATTTTATCTTTTTACCGCTGTTTTGCTTGTTGCCGAAGTTTAAATGCTACATCATGATCCAGTGCGATTTATAGTTGTTGTTACATGCTCAGATCTTTAATTTGTTTGAATTAATGAGAAAATTATCTTGTAGTCTGTAATTATGCGTAGTATTGCATTGTTGCATGCGTTCACTGCCTATGAAAACAATCTTTTTCCTAGTAGTATATCGGATAGGCCAACTGACTCCCACTGGTGGCAAATTGTGCTACAAAACCATAAATAAGGGATATTCGAAGTATAAACCTCACAAAAGCTTTTGATTTTGATCAACAACGAAACGAGTGACTAAAACGTGTTAAAAATAACACATGTTCGTGTTACCCATACCCATACCGTCCTAAATGTACTTCACAGAGAGGGGGTTGAGTGTTGCTCGTTATTTGTAAGTCTCTGAATTAATCTTAGCAGCTTTCTTTTTCTTTTCTATAATTTTTACCGGGGAATCGAAATGAATTTTAGTTGATTGGTTGCGTCCATCGCGGTTCCCCCCTATTTGTTTTTTTTTAAAAAAAAACCATTGCAAGAACGCGTACGGTCTCTATTATTTTTCATTAACAGCCAGACAGTTTTAATTCACCGAAACTAAAACAGATTCATAAAATGTACATGGTTCAGGGTATTCTGTACGAGCCTTTTATGTTGGGTGTGTCGCCTGATTAAAAGCGAGCGATCGGGTGAGTCGCCTTCGCTTAGTGCAAGAAGACTTTGTAAAACGTGTATATTTAATGAATCTTTCTCTAAAGAACGAGGCGGCCTAGAAAGCTTGAAAAATAGTTTTTGAAACGTCTTGCCAAATATGTTTTTATTTTGTTTGGGGATTGCTAAAATTGCGTTTCAACTAGACGCTGTAAAATTCGCACTTGAACTTATTCTTCGGATTCAAAACAATGACCAAAGTTCCGTCTGCACGTGCTCTTTTGGGTGAGTCGCCTGAAAAAGCAAGCGATCGGGTGTGTCGCCTTCGCTTAGTGTAAGGGAACTTGGTTTTTATTGGTTATGGCTCGCAAGTCCGTTTTGAACGAAATAAATGGTTTCAGTCATAATTAATGAACATCATATAGGTGACCTTACAAGTTTGTATTATAAGAAAAATATAAGAGCCTTTTTACGCTGCGAACAGGATGAAATAGAAAACTTCACCGGCCTTTTCTCAAAAAAAGGGAATAGTCCCGCTTTAAATTCTGCTCCCCAGAAAAAGCTACAATGAAAATTATTTAAATTTATAGTTTAAATTCAATCAAATTTATTTAAATCGCTGCACTTCGTTCATTTGTGGTAAATAAATGCATATTGATTCTGAGGTATCCCCGGTTAGATAATTTGTGCAAAAGTCCTCTACACCGCCACAAGTTTTCCGAGTGGTGCGCTGTTTTGGAGTGATTTTTATTTCACCAGGTTCTTTTCTTTAGTTGTGTTCGTCTCATCAGCTCAGCCTTATTATTTCTGTAGTGTCTGCTAAAATGATCCATTGAAAGATATGTCGAATAAAACTTCAGTAGGAGGTCACGAAAGGAGATTCGCATTTCACCTCAAGTATGGTTTCAAGCTGTCAACGGTCTATGCTCGGCTGAATTTAAACAATGGCTTCCTGGTCAGATGGTGGACAAATTTTCCCCCATATTTCGGTCGCTAAGGCTTGCGGCTCGCCATGCGTCCGGCATGTAGTGGAAAATGCCAGATCGTGTACCTGACCGAACCTGAGCCCTCGTTATTAGTTTTCTGATAGCGGTCTGCACATGTCCCATTTTGACAGCTGTCAATTGACCTTAATTTGGCCTGCCAATGTAACTTTAAACGACTGTCAGCCAACTGACAGCCTTGCCCGGCGTAGTTTCGTTTTTATGTTGAATTGGTAAGTGTGACATATTATGTCAGCTAATATATAGGGGCAAAACGACTGGTCTTTTATATGAGCCCGCGAGACGGTCATGTGATAAGTGTCAGCGGATGTCTGATTTTGACAGCTGTCAATCTAATCGTACTCATACGGATGGCTTACATAACTAAGAGGCTAGTCAAGTTGTGCAAGATCTATTGTGACATTTGACATCGGCTTACATGAAGTGTGTGTACGGACGGGCGTACGCTACGTCATAACCAAATTTTCTGGGATGGATATTTTACCAAATTTTATTACCCATGGTGCTCCGCTGCGCGCGCGCGGGAGCTCCGCTATAAACATTGAAACCACTCCATATGACAACCTGAATACAAGCGACGCTTGAGGCTGCATTATCGCTGCACAACGCTGCAGATACCAAATAAGGACTTAAAGATCTTCAAAATTAAAACCCTGGAGAGCAAACCCGTACGAAACTTGCAGCGCTGTACGGCGCCACAAAATTGCTTCAAAATAGCTGTACAGCTAAATTGCAGCTGTTTAGCAGCATTTTAGAAGCCAAACAACAGCTTAATTCAAGTTGCAGCGGGCTGCAAAAGCGCTGGTGTAGCCTTTGAAGCTCTCGGCAGCAATTTTGCTACAATTCAGCTGCGCTCGATCTAGCACAACGTTCTTGAGCGCTCATAACATGAATCGCCAGAAAAGCCTTTTGCCACAGATTACGGCTTTCATAACGAGAAAACTTTGACTGTACCTCCAAGAAATGTGAGTAAGCTTGTGCGCAGGGAAGATCACTTATTGAATAAACCTCCAAATTCTATGCTTTTGGAATAAAGATTTCAATAAATTTTATTCCGTGACTGGCGAGTGTGGGAATGTTATCGCTAATTCCCTGGAGACATTCTAGGCTTTAATCTAATTGGTCGGCACTTTTGCATCAGATCACATTACATCGCTAGACAAACATTTGCGACCGTTGAATGAAAGGCGCAAACATTCATACATTGTAAGTTTTTAGCATGTAGTTCTGTTTCGAGGTGGAAGTTCTGTTGATGTTTTTGGATGGAACAGCTCAAAGGTATTTGGAAACAACGGCACAGTTCAGTGAATTCTACGCGAAGTACCGACGAATAGAACCAGAGCAAGATTCAAACGTTCACGATGATGTACGTTCCTTAGTCCATTGTAAAATTTAACGACGACCAAAGTAAAATTGGGTTGATTTCTTTCATGAAAACAGTGACGGCAGATCGTGGATCATGGACAAAACGTCAAGGTGAGCGATGTTAGGCTTAACCTGTTGCAACGAATCAAAACATCATTTGGCTGCTGTCCGTGCAAACTTTATGTAGAACAATCGCTCTTATTCTCTTTATTTTAAAAAAAGATAAACTTCAATGTCGGCATGTTAATGGATGTTCTTACATTTAGATGAGTGACCGTGATTGCTGAATATTTACAAAGCGAGACTGTTGTAGATTTTTTATATGTCACCTGCTTTTGTAACGTGTACGCGTGGATACTAATAAAGTATCAGTTGCATTTTGTCTTTCTTGTGGTTTTTACTCCGCTACTGTAAGGCTTCTTGTCAACTCCTTTACCATGTCTCATGATTATTGTATTGTTGAAGTCTGCATTTCTTTTTTTGTACAACTGTTCTTTGCAGCGCTTCACTAACGCTGCACAGCGCTGCATAAGAGCTGTTTATCGACCGTATGGCCTCGTGTGGTTTTTTTTTTTGCATCTTTACGGCAGCGCTCCTGTAGCTCTCAGTGTCGCTACCGCAGCGTTAACGCAGTCACAAAAATGCACTGCTGCAGCGAACGGAAAACAGCGTTCGTGCAACCTTTCTGCAGCGCTAATAAGTCGCTAAAGCAGCGCTGTTTTAACGTCTTCTGTATCGTACGGGCTGTAGGATGTGTTTTAGTGCATAACTTTTTTTCGATGAAAACAAATGTAATTTAAATACTGGTAAAGCAAATATGGCTGACTAAAGATTCCATTCTCATGAGTCAAATTCTTTTCCTGGTCGCTCAAAATTCACTTTTTAGCCTTCCCCCCCCCCACCCTAAAAAAATTTAATAATAATAATAATAATAATAACTTTTTAGGAGGGCAGGGCTGAAAGTGAATTTCTGTGCATTTTGATAGAACAGGAAAGGAATTACATTTTTTCTTGGGGAGTCTCCAGAAAGGGGCATGATGCCCCTTTCCACCCAAAATTCACCCAAAATTGGGCTCCCTTAAACATTTATTAAAGAACAGCCTTGTTATGGAATATCCCCCCCCCACCACCCCACCCCAGGAAGGAAGATATGTAAACAGTGTTACAAACCACATGTGTTAAGTAACAGATGGAAAATAAACTGTAGATGAAAACCTTGAGAACATCTTTCTCTTGGCATTTAGTCTCTTGAATACAGAATATGTCTGGATCTTTTCGTTTTTCACATATGATGCTGAGCCATTTTTCTGAAGAAAAGAAATTTAGTGTTAGCCTTCAAAACAAAAACATGTTGCAGTACAGAAAATTTTGCTCAAAAAAAAGAACAGCTAAATGTATTTTGTATGCATCAATTTACTTACCAGCCATGCTCTAATACCATTTACATTCCAGCTAGAAATCTTAAAGTTCCATTTTCTAAAAGAAATATGTTACTATAGTAAGTAACTTGGCAGCTTGTCCTTACTACAGTGTACTAGAACATCTGTAAATGTTTTCATTTAACAAATAAACACTAATTGTCTTGCCAAGGGTCATGCTGATGGTAGCAAGGAAAAAACCCTGGCATTGGACCAGAAAAAGCACCACACCAATAACTTGTTGTGACGCAATATTTTTTGAGCAAAAAATAACCCAATCGTCCCTGAACTGCCCGTAACTACCCATGTGGATCCACATCCCTTCCACTGCTTGTAACATCACCATTTTTAATGGTCAAGGACAACTTTTTCCACCAGCTTGTGCAGGGTGATGTCCTTTCATCTAATCCTAAAACTTTCCCAAGAACGTTCCCACCAAAATGAAGCGTACTAAATGCCCAGCAAAAGAAAAAAATAAATATCACACAAGAAAAGAGAATGGAGAGGGGAGGAGAGAAAGTAAGCTAAAGGAAAAAGAAAAAGTCAAGAATGCTGTGTTGATCAGTTTTAAACGCAAAAACTACCTCAAAATTTTGCTTCCTGCGCATGCCTGTACCTTGAAAGCCAATATTTTAAATATGGATTAGAAGGCTGAGAAGTGTACGACCTGTAAACGGCTTTGAGGTAAGTTTTAGCTCTTTTAGCAAGACAGACCAGAAAACCGCTCAACTACCTTCAAAACACATTTTTCGGCAAAATTCCGAGGTCCAAATGGGCTAATTACTGTATTGTCAACAACTGTGGTTTAGTTACTTATTTGAAGCAGCACATGAAAAGTCAGCTTCTTCTTCATCCGCATTGTCTACATTTGAGTGTTCTGATTCACTATCATCTTTCTTAGATTTCTTAGCTTCAAGTTCATCATCACTAGCTTTGCTTTCCTTGGCTAAGCGTTTTCCTTTCCCCTTAACATTCTAAAACACAGTCATATGCAAGTCATGTAAGTGAGCTTTGGTCAGAATTATGCCAACCCAGATTATTTTTCTGTGTACAGTCAGCCTTGGGGTACCCCTATAAAAGTGACAGGGGTGCTCATGTACCTTTTAGGGGTTTAAATTTGTGAATTGGTACCGCTTAGGGTGCTAAAACCTAAAATGACTGCTGCTAGAGTTGTCTCGGTAAGATTTATGACAATGCTTTCAAAAAGTCTACGAGAACAAAGTGTCTGAAAGTCATCTTTATTACTATTAAAATTTGCAGTTCCAGTTTGTTGTTGTTGATTTGGTATCCCTTAGGGGTTGAACTGAATTTGGGACACGCCCATAAAACAAGATTCTGGTACCTTTTAGTGGTGTTCTCAACTAGCATCCTTGTCACTTTTATATGAGAATTCCCCCCCGGTTTGTTTTTTCCCTACTGAAAAACCACGTGACATCGCTCAAGTGCAAAAGATGGCGGGTATCGAATCGTGAACATGGTCGATTGTGTACACTAAAGCAAGTGGGCCGTTATTAAACAAACACTGTACTTTATTTTCATACACATCATTTTGCCATCTCCGCCCGCAAATAGCAAAAGCTAGACGAGGCGTTAACTCCCGGGCGTTAACCTGCTTGTCTAACTTAAAGCGGTTAATGCTTATTAACTAAGCAGTTAATGTTAAATAAAATATTGTTTAACAGCGTTGCAGACAATCTTCATTAGCACGAGGTTGTCTTCTGTTGAAACAATGATCGCTTGGTTCGCGAGATACGTATTTTTAATACCTGTCTTTCCGGAAAACCCTGCAAATCGAACAAATGCAGGCGAGAAACATATTGATTGTTACCCACATAGAACGTCGCCTATGGACAAGTACAAACACGAGTTTAAGAAATCAAAATCACGTTTACTACTAGAAAACACCATACCTTTGTCTCCTTGCTCTTTTTTGGTGGCATTGTTTAATAGCGGGGCTCCCTCGCGCGCGAAGCGCGCTTGGGACAGAGCCCCATACTCATAGAATATGGTCAACCTCTTTTCGTTTGGTTGTCACGTGACTGACCGAGCGTACGTACGTACGTTCGAACGTACGCGTCTACAGATTGTACGGGTAGGGTAGGGGAGACTATCAAAAGGAAGAGAGGGGTGTCTCAGGTGTGTCTTGGCAAACCCATATCTTTTACATTGGCCATTCACAATATGGTCAATTGACAGCTGTCAAAACAGGATAGCCACTGACCAGTATCACATTGCCATATCGAGGGCTCATGTGTCAACTCATCAAGGTGACGTGTTTTATTTGGAAGCTGTCCGCTGACCACTTGTTTTACCAGATTGCAATCAATGTTCAATCTGATACTTTCTAGCTAATTTGAGAGCACGGGAAAACTGATAATGCTCACACCCTTTGGACATCAATATTGTGATCAACTGACAGCTGTCAAAACAGGGTATCCGCTGACCAGTATCCTTTGACTATATCGCGGGCTCAGGTGTTGACCCATCGAGGTCGAGTATTTTTTGAAGTTATCCGCTGACAAGTTACTTGTTTTCAAATGATCGCAGGCTCAAATTTGATTGTTTTGTAATTCATATGAAATATGTTTTGTTTTTGTGCCGCACAATTAAAATTTTGATTTAAAACTGACATCGCACGCGAAAATTTAGCCAGCTATTACAGGCGGGGAAGCCAGTTGCTTTTGACTTTTCTCACCATGATCACGCGTTGGTCACGCTCCACGTCCAGTTTTTATGCTCTGATTGGTCAAAATTTGACAGGTGAGCTCATGCGGAAAATTTATGCAGCATTTTGAATCTTGTTTACTTTGACAGCTGAAGCTGACAGAGTTTTGTGTCAACTTGTGATGTTTTAAACTGTCTTTTTCCACTTTATGCACAAAATAAAATTCAGCTGCTATCAGGAGTCTTCTGTTATTCATGGCTAGTTGGTTTTTGGTTTAGAAATTAATACATCACTTGTCAAAGTCGGAAATCCGATTTCGGATGGCATCGATCTCGTTTTTCACCTTGCGTAAGGGTTGAAAAGTCTGAAGCGATACTGGCCTTCCTTGATACCTTTCTGGAGCTGCATCTCGAATGGTAAGCCTCAGTAATTGTTGTGTTTGATGTTTGTTTTTTATATCTAATTTAATGAAGTCGAGCGCAGTTCATGCGGCTATGTAGTTTATGCACGTTTGTAAGATTTGAGACAATTTGATATGACCAAGAATCAGGTTTGATATAAGATTAAAGAACTTTAAAAAGCCTTTCATTTAGACATTTTCTCACCGCAAATAGGTAGAAAACTTTCCAAAGAACATTTAGTTATAATTCTGTTCTGACTGTAAAAGAAAGCTTTGACCGATTTTCTTGCTTCGAATTCATCTTTGAAATAAGTAAATACCAGGAAGCCGGCTTGAAACATAAACATTAGCTTACTTGTCTTCGTGAATGAAAAATGTTGTCTCTGTATATGTTTCACCGAATTATATTTCTTTTATTGATTGTTGGTAGTCTCTCTTGTAATTTTAATCGCCGTGCCGTTTGTTTTCAGTCGTTCAGTGAACATCGCTAGCAGGAGTACTCAAAATGCCGCGCGTATCGAACCGGCGCTTTTAAAGATTACACATCGATAAAACCATTTAATAAAACTGAATAAACATAATAATTTTCTTTATTATGTTGTAGCTTAACTCTAGTATGTTCGTTCAAACACTCGCTACAGCTCGCACTGCAAAAGTGAGAACCGGCTGGCTGTATGTGTGATTTTGGAAATTATATTAACGGCTTTAAAAGCCCACACGTGCTTCGATCGTTCTGAATATTGAATGAGTGCAATTTGTGTTGCAAAATTGGGAAATACTGCATTCTGTCCGAGGTCTGTATGATAAAAACAGTACCTCATAGTACTGTTTCACCCAAGATGTGATGTACAAATGGTATGAAAGGTTGGTTTACACGCACCCGGATTTGTTGGCAAGATTTTGTAAAACAGAACGCAAAAAAAATTCGGCCTGATTTTTTTTCCAGCCCTAATTAATCTTACGGTGATCAAGAGCCATTATGGCTCCTAAATGTGATCGAAGATGATTGCTATTTTTTGGGTGTACATATGAGGCTATCAACTTGATGTAAGATTTTGTTCACTCTTGGGCTGTTTGCAAATTATTTTTCTGTAAAATCACTTAGCCTTTCCCCTCAAAAGTCACATGAATGTGCTATGTGCTCTAAAGTTAACTGAACTTTAAAGATTCCCGCTTTTAAAGATTCCCTGTTTTAAAGATTCCCGCTTTTAAAGATTCCTCATTTTAAAGATTCCCCGTTCCCCATTCCCATTCCCCTGATTCCCCGTTCCTTGTTTTAAAGATAGCCTCTCGTGAACTATGTCCGGTTCGCTCGCGACTGTTGGTCTGACTCAAGCGCTGTATTTCACTTTGCTGCGTTTTTCCTCACACTTAGGCCTGAATAAAAATCCAGCAAGGTTATTGCAAGCTTTTGCAATTATAATTAACAATCACAGTTGCTTTTTTTGTTAGAATGCTGGACAAGAAGACGCGTATATTTACAGGCGCGCATTGGTCTAGCAGCATTGCCGGTCTATTACTTTTGTGTGATGATATTGATTTTTCCCAGCTGAGTGTAAAACGCTACTGATAAGTCTTGAATTTTTTGCTAAGTAGATGACTGTTAACTTGAATCTTATTTTTTAAATGTATTTGCCTTCATGATCGTACATATTTTTTTAGATTTTAGTACCTTTTATCTATCGAATCATCTCTGCAACAATTTTATTTTTGATGCTAGTTGGTATGTAAGATATGTTTTTGAAATGAAAATACATCTCGCGATTTTGAAGTGTCTGTAAGTGCGGATACCTGTGGATGGCGGATGGCTAGGCTGTGTTGCGGACGCCCGAGATTATTATTCGCAGGCTACGTTCTCGGTAGTATTTTTTAGCAATTTAGCCCGTTTAGAGTCTTTTTTCTCCCTTCTTCTTCTTCTTCTTTTTTGAACAATTTGATATCCTACGGTTTTTATTTTCAAACGCCAGATGAAACGCGCTCGACGATCTCTCAACGAGAAAATAAGGGTCTGTGAAGACCTGTGAATTGGCTACAATTTGACTCGTTCCCCCCAGGGGCACTCCCTATTGTGGCCAAAACAGAAGGCTCAGCCCGAAAAGGGTACCTTATTCGGACTTTGAGTACATGAAAGGGTAGGGATTTCGTTAGTTGAAGTATATAGAACGGTAGAGAAATCTGACATTTTGTCTGTAAAAGGAGCAAAAAGGGCTAACAGACGCATTTTATTGATGTGGAAAGAGACAAGAAAACGTCCTAGTCTAGTGATTTATTGTTATTAAAAAGACGCTGAATTTGCGTCAGTTAAAAGCTAGGAAAGTAAAGTTGTAAACTAGGATGTGAAAGGGGTACTATCTGTTAATAGAACGTGTACGAAAGAAGAACTTATTCTGTCAAAAATGGTACATAAAAAGATACGTGGTTGAACCTCAGGGTGGAGCCTTCCCGTATAATACGTTGTTGAGTAGCAGACCCCCGGGACTTGCTCTCGCCCTTAAATCCCGCAGCAGTGGATATGATAGCGGATCGCGGGTTGAGGATAAAAGCGGTCAACCGATCGCGGATAACAAAATGAGGTTAGCCTTCGCGACGAAATATTCTCTTTTTGTTTTGTTTTGTCTTTTGCGCATTTTATCTTTAAACTTGATGTGTTTTCTGTTGGATTGGATTAGCGTACTTTCTTGTCGCTTGTCTCTCTGACTCAAATAGCATAATTCTATTTCTGGCAACTTTGCAGCGAATGTTGTTGAAGGAAAAAGCTTGTACGTCTCTCGCTCTGGTAATGATGAATGGTCTTGTGATCAATCGAACCCTTGCAAAACCATTGGGCAAACTGTCATGTTAGCGTCAATAGGAGATACAATTCACATTGACGGTAACAACACTGACAGATACCCTTATACTTGTCAATCAGGAACGTCACAGCATCCGGGAATATACATCAACAGGACTCTATCACTGATTGGTTCTGCTAATCCCATGCCTCAGATACGTTGTTTCGAAGAAACAGGGTTGGTGTTCAATGGCTCTGATAGCGCGGAGGACACGAATATAACTATATCAGGACTTTTATTTACTGAAAGCCTTGTATATGTTCAAGATTCCTCTGTTCATATCAGTGGTCGTAAGTTCCAAGGTAGTAATCAGAGCGTGGAAATTGTTATTCGTTACAGTGCGTTCTCGAAGATGCTGGTTACAAATTCGACATTCTCTAAAAACCGTAGGTGCATTTCAATAGTTTTCCAAAGTGAAATGAGCTTATCGCCAAATATCCAATTAATATTCAAGCTTTCAAATTCCTCGTTCGATGGCAATCTTTGTGTAGACAGAGGCGGATGTATCTCGTTCTACAAACCTGAGTCCAGTATACAGACCGTTAGCTGCAATATCACACTGGATAATGTGATATTCTCCAACAACAACTTCAGTTCAGGATCATGTCTTCTTTCTAAACATTAACAATGGCAGACAGAACATATACCTTCAGAACATGACAATTAGCGAAAACGCGCCATCGTCAACAGTCTTAGAGACTCTGGGAGGTTTCCTCGGTGGTGAATACGTTGTCTCTACTGATGATGTACATTTTTTGGTCAATTCCAGTAACTTCAGAAGTGAACATGCACGTTTATTCCATGTGACTGCGTCAAACATTTCATTTGAAATCTTCAACTCGCGTTTTTTTGGTCACAATTCCAAAGGAAGAGGTGGAGTTGCATCGCTGCTTGGTGCTTTTCTTTGCAGGCTTAAAGTCTCCAAGTCATTATTTATTGACACAACTGCTGCCCAAGCAGGAGCTTTCAGTATAGAATCCTCCAATGATGTTAATGCAAGCATTGAGGATAGCACTTTCTACGGCAATAAAGCAACAAATGACGGAAGTGGAGGAGCGGTGTTTATTAGTGCCTCAGAGTCATCATTGCGACTAAGTCAGTCTGCCTTTACGGAATGCACTGCTGGATACGGTGGAGCAATTTATATCGAAACAAAATCGAATTTACCGAGCGCATATCCTAAAGATATTGGTTTGCTCTTAACAATTGAAAGTTCCAATTTTACAGGATGCAGTGCTAATATAGAGGGTGGTGCATTGTACCTGATTTATGATACCAATACGAAAATTAGCCTGAATAAAAGCCGTTTTATCTCTAACGGTATGGAATTCGGGTTCGGAGGTGGGGCTATCTGGGTTTACAATTCAAAATCTGAACAGGATTTGAACGGGAACACCAGCCAAATGACTTTAGAGTACTGTACGTTCCTAAAAAATCATGCTCGTCAAGGTGGTGCTTTATGGCTCTCACTGAATGTTCCAAGTCTCCTCGTGTTCAGGCACGTCTTTATGGAAAACAACAGAGCTATTGAAAAATTTGAAGGTGCTGCCGTTATCTACGACAGTAGTATTCAAGTGCAAAACTCGCGATTTTCTAATAACTTTGCAGGTTATGGTGGTGCGTTTTGGATAATCGGTGATGTAAATAGTCTTCAAGTTATGACTTCTGTTTTTGAGAACAATTTTGCTGCAAGCTACTCCGGGGGAGCATTTCTGATTCAAACGGGTCTGGTTTTTCTCTCCATCTCTGTAGTTAACTCGACTTTTAACAACTGCTCAGCCACATACAATGTTGGTGCTGTCAATCTTGTTACAGGTAACACCGTAACGGTAAGTATCTTTATTAAAATGTCTCGTTTCCAAAACAATTACTGTTCTTCTGGGAGTGGAGGAGCCCTAAGAGTGTCTTCGCCGTCTTCGTATGGACACACAGGTATTAAGGTTCAAGAATGTAGTAAGAGTGATACGAAAACACAAAAAAAAGATGGATCCAAAGAAGATACTCACCTTTCCATCGAAGACTCCGTCTTTGAAAGAAATACTGCACCATTTGGCGGTGCTATATATTTGGGTGTTGGAAAAGCAGCATTTTATAATTGTTCTTTCATTGATAACTTTGCTAGATTGCGAAGTGGACATATTCACTCAGTCTTTGGTTTAACAAGCTTAACAATACAAGACACCCTCTTTATACAGATAATGAATGAATTTAAAAGGCATAAGATTATTTTACCAGATACTTCGTTTCTTGAAGCGGAAAACATCTTAAGTCTTAAGTTATACAATACCACGGTAGATGTCAGACCTTATGGCAGTACCGGCCCCTTTATACTGATGAAGAATGGAAAGCTGATAGACTTGGGAACCAACAACTTAACAAATTATAATTGTCCTGTTGGGAGCAGGCTGGGCATTCTAAACATAACAGATGAGTCAGACTCGCTCAGTACTTGGCAGTTTAGCGGTTCAGCCTGTAAAGGCAATTCCTACAGTCTCCAGCGTGGTCGTGCTGTTGGGTATCGTGTGGTGCCAGGATTTCAGTGTCTTCCATGCCCATTTGGTGCAAACTGTTCTCAAAATATAATCGCTGAACCAAACTTTTGGGGTTTTCAAGAACAGCTTACTCCGCCAAAGCTTAAGTTTACCATGTGTCCTCTGGCTCATGAGCTTTTGTGCGCGCTTACGTGCGTCGCCAACGTTTTATCTTTATATAAGTGCCGAAAGCAATGAAATGTTGAAATTCACTGTTAGGAATTTAAGCTTTCACGTCTTTTCTCGGCCTGGCATTCTTATCAGTTATCCAATTTTGCAATCGGTTAGCGCAACAAAGACCGCGCTCACGAGAAACTAGTTTACAGTGGTCAGTGAGCGATAAAGACAGAAGAGAAGGCACATGATTTCTACCTCAATTGTTCCATCTTCTGCTTTAGTGATGGCCACCGAGAGATGCCAGGACTTCCCCTTCTTTCCAAACCAGTCGCGCTGCGTTTTGCGAAAGCTGGTTGGAATAAACTTCATCGCCCAGTCCATTATTAGCAGCACCTGTGATGGTTTCAGGCTATCAACAAATTCGCTCTTGGCCGCATCCTGGTGAACTGAACGGAGAACGTGCGACTTCCAATCTTCTGTGCTCGGCGCAGCGCAGCTCAAATCATGCTGTAACCCCTCTCGTTTATCAGGACTAAAAAGGGAAAGAGTAGAGCTTGTCAACATCACGGCACGATAGCCTCAGAAATTTTTCTTTGGAGCCGTTTTATCAAAAAATAATGATGCCTCTCTCACTTTTTTTCGTAAACTGCGTTTCATTTAAAACATATGTTCATTAGGTTTAGAACCACCCAAAGCAATTTAAAATTTCTAAACTCATATAGAGCGCCCTGGGGATTAGGTTGTTAGTTGACAATAAATGCTAAACTCTGCTTTTCTGTCACAAAGATGTTCTTACCTTAGATGTACTTCACCTGAATCCAACGCTAGTTGCAGATCTGAGACAGCATTCTTTAGGTCTTCGCATCGGTCACAGGTGATGGTATGCTGATGTTGGCACTGACCGTTGTACTCTTGCTCTGTCCTACTGAGGGCGAACACTCTGCAGTGATCTGCACACGGGGAATCTCTAGGTGTGTGGATCTTGAAATCCGTCTTCAGATACTGCCGACCTTCTTTGAGTCGCATTAGAATGCTATCGGCCATTGTGCTATCCAGTCCTATGATAGAAACAATACACACAATAATAAAAATTGATACTCCGTCAGCTTATCAAAAGTTGTGACAACTCGTGCACCTACAGTAATAATGGGAGGTGTTTGTATCTCACCGGCTTGTTTGAGCTGATGAGTGATGTCTTCAAAAGTGGTGACCGCCTGTACCCTATCTGTCTGAGTGCTATCAAGACCGGCTAACGATTTCTTTAGTGAAGCCCCACAAACCTGAACAGAAACAAAAATGCTTTGGTTTCAAACTAATTCTAAATGCAAACCATTACTACCACTATACCACCACTACAACTACAATTAAGCCTGATCAAAATTCGTCCTTTACGAACGTTTTATAATTCGTACCTTGATTATATCAAAGAGCGTGGAACGTCCGAGAGGCTCAAAATTGGACTCTACACAAAAGTTCAGGTACATGCGCACTAGGTGGGAGGATATAACTGTGCGCATCATGTTCGGGATTTCTAAGCTCTCTCCACTCTCCAGTTTAAGAGTTCGGGTGCCATATGCCACATCTTAGAGAATTGATGGACTGGACAAGAAGTCAAGAAAGTGGTCAACTTTCACAGCATCCAAACGGCATCTGGTGATCCTTGGTGGGTCAATGGGTTTTCCTGGCTTAGTTTGGAAAGCGTGCTTCCTTGCCTCGTCGATTCTCCATTTTGAGAGACCCGGAATCAAAGCCAATAGCTCGCTCTTCGAGTAGTCGCTCACGAAAAGCGACAGGATCTGCTGTCTCGTGTACCAATAGGCGGCTTCCTCATACAGAATCACCAGTCTGGCAACCAGCGTGTCTTCGACTATACCCTCGGACGCTTGTAAATGAATCCGCCGTTGCATGACTTGGTGGTAGAGCCAGGAGGCGTTGCCAGGGGCAATGGATTCAAGGACGCCTTCGATAGCCTGCTCCGCTTTTTTCCGGTAGTAGCGCTGGGTTCTGGATGACATAGTAAGAACGTCACATTGACACTGTGACCTCACCGAGCTGACCCTGCCTCCAGTAGCCATTCTGAGGAAATTATTAAGGTAGTAAAGGCGGTGCTGTATTTGAGGGGTGGGCTGCCATTCTGCCGACGTCTCTGCTGCGCCAAGAGACTCTTGGGATCCAGACGACGTCCGCGACAAAGCGTCTAAATGGCGGTCGCTGGGGTCTGAGTCGCGATCGTTATGCTGGAAGAGAAAAAAGCTGTATCTAGGAAATATCTAATTATTCCATCAGTTTGGCATTATTACCGTATAGTCAGCGTGCACAAGTTTTACATTAAAGAATTCCTGTTGGCCGGTATGCTTTGCGCCCGTTGGCTTTGTTTATGAACGCTATACGAATCTGCTCAAACCTTTCTAAGATTAATAACAGGAGTAGAATGAGCTTTGAATAGTAATTGTTACGAGTTATTGGTTATTATATTTTATCAAATTGACATTGAAATTGAAATTCGATAAATAAGAGTGAGCAACATTCGAAACCACGACCGCAAAGCATACTCGAAGACAGGCATTCTTTGAGAGGAGACAATTTTATGACTCAACCATATGGTGACTCTGAGTATAACAACTAGTTTTAACGAATTCTGATTTTATTCAAAGTCTATGCAAATTAGTGTGAGAACCAACATTATGCCCAATACATCAAGCAACAACGACCCCTCTCCCTCCTTCTCTGATTTGTTCTAAAGATCAGTGGATTATGACAACAGTTACAAAGCAAGTGACGCAAACGTCCCGCCCCTTTGAAATCAGTAAACTCATTCACACACTGCCGAAGAAGAACTTACCTCACTAATGAGATCTTCTTGGAATCTTACTTGAAGGACAGGGGCAGCAGACAATTGTTCCGATTCTTCTGTAGCAGGCGGTAGTAACTGTGGTGGCTGTACTATTTCCTCTGCGGACTCCGTAGAACATGAAGGTTCGTGAATCTGAGGCTCTGGGTGAGACGTGGACGCCAGTCCGGGATCTTGCACTTCGGAGTCCGCGTCAGTAGAACCTACAGTTCTTAGATGGTCACCACGGCATTGTCTACAAACCCCTGCCTACAAGAATAAACCTAAAATGAGTTTTGGTAGCATTATGATTTGTTAGTTTGTGGTAACAGGCTGGATAGAACAAATTGTTTGGAACTTTTCCCAAGCGATAAACGGCTTGCCTGCATCTATTTAGGCATTCTAATATTTCCTAGAGGGAGGGATTTTACAAGCTAGATTCTAAACAGGTTTGTGCCGCCATTCCTAGTCAAAAGGAGGCCCCAGAGGGCTCCACCTTTAAAAAAAACATATACCTGAGGAAACAGAAACCTCTTCTTCTGAAATTGGGGTTGTAAATTTGACCCTGTTGGAAGTATTAGTGATTAGTGCTGTAGAAAATACTAGAAGTCCGCGCGATGTAGTAGGCCAGCGTAGGCCATCACTAAATGTATAATTAGCGGCAATTCCATTGCGGATTTTAAATTTAAACAAAAATCTGATAATTTTTCAGTGAAGCGCTTATTTTCACGCCCCCTTCTAGAACACTCATTCTTAATTGACACCGGGATCTATATTAAAAGGCCTGGCCCTGAGGTTTTGCAAAAAAAAATTTCTGTATAGTCATTGTAACTTTTGAGAATTGCCCTATCCCCCGCCCCTCGTGGGGAAAAATGACCGATTAGAAACAGGAAGCTATAACTGTGGGCTACTGTTAGAAGGTAACTAGTTAAGATACAAAGAGAAAAACAACGGAAGGGCAAATTGACCTGGTAAATTTCAAAATAAAAGAAAACTCTTGTAGATCAAAATTCACCACACAATCCCTTATTTGTTTATTTGTTTGTTATTCTTTTGCGAAATAAATATCATACCCTATAACTCATAATTAATTTCTTACAATATCTTCCATCCTTTCCTCCCACCCCCACCACAAAAAAAAAGAAAGAAAAAAAAACTCCCTTCCCACTTGTGTATATATTAATAAAACAATTGACTAAACTTGTGTATTAGTCAATCATTTGCCCCATGTAAGAGAATCCGGATTCCGGAATCCTAGAAAATTTTGCTAGTGGAATCCGGAATCCCACTAATGATTGAAAAAGAACCCAAGTTCCACTGACAAATACTGGAATACAGTAATTGGAATCCTGTCTTGATTCCCTTACATGAGGCGAAATCATCAAGAAACCAAAGCATGTATATGTACCGTATTTACCTTCAGTGATCACGCTTACCTGAGCCTACAGGAACCAAAACGTCCCACGTTTCCTTTATCTCTTTCGACATTTTCAAGTTCACCCCTCTAGATACTTTACCCTTACGGCGACCATGAAGCGGATGCTGGCATTTTCTTGAAAGACAATACTTTACTCCAAGTAAAACGCGATGCTTTGGGCAAATAACCATATCCTTACCCTCCTCGTCAAACAAACCGACACACGCAAGTATCAGCTCTCTCTCAGAGGCTACACATGATTGTGTTGTTTGCAATTCTCTCAAGTGCGCCTTTACATCACTGACGCAAGAATTCAAGGAAAAAACTGTGTACGATCGGGGTATCTAGTTGATACGTCACACTCACTGGTACAGTGCACGGCAAAAGAGCACGAGAACTGCGACATCCTTTATAACGAGAGGCCTTTTCAACTTTTTCACCTCTACATCGTATACCTCTAACCGATCGGTGCATGTGAGGAACACTTTGAAATATCCATGCGCATGCACGCTTTTTCCAATCAACGGTCTATTTATAGAAAGCGTGTGAATCTCAACACTGGGCTGTTAGGTCTATTACATATCCTAAGCCCGAATTCAACATTTACGATCGCCGAACCTTTATACATGTAAAAACTCCGTTTATAAAGAAGAAAACAAAACAACTGAATTCGTTCGCGTCAATTTGTATCTTTAAAGCGAAAGTTTGTTCTGTTTGTAGTTATTATGGAAAATCGAATCAAGCTATCAAATTACAAAGATGTATGCGCTTGCCAGGAAGTAATTTCCAGGGATTAGAAAAGAAAGAAGCTTTTGGCTGTAAACAGCCAAACGCTTTTCTCCATTTTTTCTCCTTTTCAGGCTTATTAGGCAACCGATATTGAGTCGCAAGCAAATCAATTTATTTTCAGAAAAGGGAATTCTTTTGGATAACGTTTTCTGTATCAAGATGCAATGTGGCGTGCATGTTTCTAGCAATTGTACTATTCCTTTACTAGACGAACAAAAGCAAATTTTATTATACAATCATTCTAAAGTTCAAATACAGACAATGTAAGCATTTTAATAGTGTTCTGTGACTCAGGTGTTTGACTTAGCGAAGAGTAGATTTCGTCAAGTTCACTTATACAATAATAGAGGTCATCGTAAGGCTGCCGATTCTTATTTTCATGGCTTAGGACAAACAAAAGCTTTTAAAATGGTTCAATTTCATTGAAGTTTATAGTGTGTATCCATTTTGAGGCATTTTCTGTCTGTTGCTACGTTATCATTACCAAATTAGCGCGTTATATCGAAAGAACAAAAAAGATTGACGTGGGTACCACGTGGTGGGCCCTTTTTTTATTTAGGCGATTAGATAGAAATGGTTCTATTTCATTAAAGTGTATAGCGTGTAATCATTTTGTGGCATTGTCTGTCTGTTGCTGTGCGATAATTACTGAATTAGCGCGTTATAATGAAAACAAAATTGACACTGGTACCCTGTGGTGGACTACGTGTTTGCAGTCTTCCTGTGGAATAATTAAATGAGTGCCCAAAGATTTTTTTGCAGATAATGTTAGTATGAAGTCCCGCCTTCTAAACGGTATTCTCCGTTTTTAGAAGCATGCTCCGGCATTGGAGATATTTTGACCTAAACTTTGAATATTTCAACAGTTTTCACTATTGAAGTCTTGGCTGAGATGACTTGTGTCATAGGAACTTGTCGTAGAAGAACGAAACATTTACAATAAATTGTATTTGGGTAGAATAACATTCACTAAAAATATGAAAAGATATAGTGGAATTCTTTTAGCGGTAGAGCTTTATACTTTTGACCAATTTTTAAATGTTTTTTGGTCATTTTTTTCCAAAAAAAAAAGGGGGTGGTCAACTCCCCCCGGTTTCAACCAAATTTCCTTAAACTTATAGTGAATTAGTTTTGGGTGGAACCCTTCAAACTGGCCAAGTTTCATCGAAATCGGTTGGATGGCTTGTGCCGCCCCTGCCTGGTCCTATCGTGGATGCACTCTTAACCGACTACCGACAAAGTAACTGAATTTTAAGAATGCATCCACGATAGGACCAGGCAGGGGCGGCGCAAGCCATCTAACTGATTTCGATGAAACTTGGCCAGTTTGAAGGGGTCTACCCAAAATTACTTCACTCTAAGTTTAAGAAAATTTGGTCGAAACCGGGGGGAGTTGACCACCCCCCTGGTTTTTTTTAAAAAATGACTAAGAAACACCTAAAAATTGGTCAAAAGTATAAAGCTCTACTGCTAAAAGAATTCCACCAAATCTTTTCATATTTTCAGTGAATGTTATCCTACCCAAAGACAATTTATTGTAACTGTTTCGTTCTTCTACGACAAGTTCCTATGACACAAGTCATCTCCCCCCTCTCACCCAATAGTGAAAACTGTTGAAATATCCAAAGTTTAGGCCAAAATATCTCCAATGCCGGAGCATGCTTCAAAAACGGAGCATACCCTCTAGAAGGCGCGACTTCATACTAACATTATCTGCAAGGGTACCAGTGTCAATTTTGTTTTCATTATAACGCGCTAATTCGGTAATTATCGCATAGAAACGGACAGACAATGCCACAAAATGATTACACGCCATACACTTTAATGAAATAGAACCATTTCTATCTAATTGCCTAAATAAAAATAGGGCCCACTACAGAGTACCCACGTCAATCTTTTTTTTTCTTTCATTATAGCACGCTAATTCGGTAATGATAACGTAGCAACAGACAGAAAATGCCTCAAAATGGTTACACACTATAAACTTTAATAAAATTGAACCAATTCAAAAGCTTTTGTTTGTCCTAAGCCATGAAAAT